TTTGGATTGTATCCTGGGACTTCAGCATTCAGCAGTCCCCTGTTCCTACCTCACCCCTCCCACTGTCCCAGCCTTCACCTGGTGAGACATATACACCAATTAAAAGGTCACTCAACAGAAACTGCTCTCCTTGCTGTCTCTGACGAACTGCACACTGCTAAAGCAGCCTCCCTCTCCTCTGTCATCATCCTTCTGGACCTGTCTGCTGCATTCGACACGGTGAACCATCAGATCCTCCTTCGCACTCTCCAAGAACTTGGAGTTTCAGGCACTGCATTTTCCCTCCTCACCTCATACCTCAAAGACCGCACCTACAGGGTTACTTGGAGAGGGTCCGAGTCCGACCCTTGTCAATTAACTACAGGGGTCCCTCAGGGCTCTGTTCTTGGTCCCCTCCTCTTCTCCTTGTACACAAACTCGCTCGGGTCTGTCATTAGCCCGCATGGTTTTTCATACCACTGCTACGCTGACGACACCCAACTAATTCTGTCCTTTCCCCGCTCAGAGACCCAGGTCGTCGCACGCATCTCTGCTTGCCTAGCAGACATCTCTCGGTGGATGTCTGCTCATCAAGCTCAACCTTGACAAGACTGAACTGCTTTTCCTTCCGGGAAAAGATTGTCCCACTCTTGACCTAACAATCAACATCGGCACCTCTGTTGTTTCCCCGACTCAGACTGCAAGGAATCTGGGTGTGACCCTAGATAAACCAAACATCCTTCACTGCAACATCGCTGCTACAACCTGCCTGGCTGCTAGAATAACACTCTTTACACATCAGGAGGATAGCGTCCCCAGCTGGACCAGAAAAGCCGCGCAGGTTCTGCGTCCAGGCTCTCGTCATCTCACGCCTTAGACTACTGCAACTCCCTCCTGGCTGCGCATCTACGCTGCCCATGCCTGCTCCCATCCGCCTCTGCAGCCTCATCCGATGCAGTGGTCGTCTATCTCAAACCTTCCAAAATTCTCCCCCCGCCTCTCCTCCGCCCCTCCCTATCATGGCTTCCAGCTAACTGCTAGAAGCCACTTCAGACACTGGCTACTAGCATCCGCTCGCGAATGGATCTGGCGCCTTTCCTACATCCAGGACATGGTTAAACCGTACACGCCGCACGCTCCCCACTCTGCTCTGCATCAGCCAATCAAGCTCGCTGCCACACCGCACGCAGAGGGGACCCAGCTTCCCGTCAGCAAAAACACGTGGCGCGCAGCCGTGCATGCCTATGGACCCGCACCCCGGACGGACCGCGGTGGGCGCGCCGCCAGCGCGGCCGCGCGCCTCGTGGGCGCGCGGCAGCAGCCGCCTCCGGAGGCGCGGGCGTCGGCCAACGCGGCGGCCGCCGCGAGCGCGGCCACGGGGGCCGGCGGGGCGGCCGCCGTTTGCTATCCTGGCTCCAAAATGTGAGATGAGCCCCCCATTGAAATCTAGGGCAGCAGAAGCCTACACATCTTCCGGCGACGACTGCAAAACTCATCTCTTTAGACTCCACTTCGAGCGATTGACTTACTAACAAAAGCCACACTTTTATATACTAATAAAGGGCTGGCTTTGTCTAAAGCCGCTTGGAGTAGCACTTGAAATGCTTTGGCTCTATGAACCTGATGCCCTACTTATATGATTTCTGCCTTTTCTCAAGGTTGTATCTCCTGGGTCGAATGCCACTTTATTCTAGTCGCTTTTGAATAAGCGTCCAGCTAAATGCTAAATGCTAATGTTAATGCTAAGTGATTCATTACACAGTTCAAACCCTTATTCAGGCAGTGCCTATATAATTTGATTTACAGTGCCCCAGATTTGCGCGCTTTTTGGGACCATCGCACACTGTGCTGTGTGTGGTGCTAACAAGTATCCCTGCGTATATCGCAACAACTGATCAGGTGGCGTTATTGATCTATCTTGCCAAAGAGCCCCACCATGATTGATTTTTGAAATATTATTTTAATTGAAATATGGCGAGCAAAACAAAAAGGGTAGAATTGATCATACCATATCTATGCTTTATGTATTGCAACTGTTTTTAGTATCTTGTGTTGTTTTGTTTATAGTAGTATATATATGTATGTGCGTGTGTACAATGATTACTATAAAGCGCTATATATGTGAGTGGCTGTGTGCTATAAATGATGAATACATCTGTGTGGTATTCAATTAATGTAAATACAGCTGTCAAGTACTATAAGTGGCTGTGCTTCCGTACGGTAGTTACTATATAGTATTAATCTATATATATTGATATGTATATGTTTATAATGAATAAATGTGTAATAAGAATAGTATCATTAATAATGCTTCAAGATAATGAAGTACACAGTAATAGCATAAAGTTGTGCTGTTGCTATATTATATATTATATGTTATAATGAATAAATGTGTTGTTATATATATAAATCGTATCATATAAATAATGCTGTCAGTAAAGAGAGTTACACAGTAATGTCAAGTTATTCAATATTCTGCCTACCACAGCTGGTAAGATTTTTAAAACGTCTTTGTTTTGTCCTGAAATGACATTTGAGGAATACAACACAGGCATATTTATAGATGATAAAACACCAGTAATCATCTCAGGACTCTACGATATGGCTTTTGATTACAGGATCGTATTATTTCAGTCAAACAATCCTTTGGAAGACAAAAAAACAACTATTCATTACCTGCTTTTAAAGCGGGACGCTATAACTGCGAAGATGAAGTTTATGAAGCTATCGCGTAGAGCTCAGAGACGTACATCGATCCTTGCGTAATGTGGAAGTGGCGTGGTTAATCTAACCTGGGTTGAAAAATACGATAACGCACGCCGGGTCGGCTTAAAATTGATTGGTTTGTGCTTTTTACAGCGTACGGCTTCAGAGATTTAATTTTTGTATGTATTTATTGCAAGCATTTCAATATTTTCATTGCTATCGGGACGTTAGAGCATTCCAATGGATAAACAAAAAGTGTTTTCTGAAATAAATTCATACCTCATCTGAATTTCCTCTCCCTTGTTGTTCCTCGATACTGTAAAGGCTGCAGCACCTTGCAACTTCTCTCTACATCAAACATCCGGTAACCAGCATCGTTTGCTGTGAAAGCTATAACTCTGTCCACCACAGAATTAATCCTGTGTTCCTCTGGTACTTTTCTGTGATTTATCCATAGTTCGCTCATCGGCCGGGGGTCCCCGCGCGAGCGCAGGTTATTCGCCCCCAAGAAAAGGCGCTCGCAAGGGCCCGTAGCAGGATGTGACGCATATTTTAGTTGACCTAATTAAAACCGTTTTGTTTTTTATTTATGTGTCACAGTATCACCTCAAAATACAAGATACAAAACATTTTCAACCGTGCAAGAAAATTTTGCTTTTGCGCAATTACTTCATACTGTCTATGTCTTTTTCGTCCTGCATTTATTGTGCCCCCTCAGAAAATAACTGGCCCCAGCCTGGCCCCCCCAGTCAAATTGGTCTAGAACCGCCACTGACCTCTCTCTGTGTCCACCACACCTTTCTCTATGACGCAGAATCTCCCTTTCTGCTCTCCATCTCCTCTCCCTTTCCCGCCACACCCACACTGCAGCCATTTACCATATTGCTCCTGTCTCCTGGCTTTTTAGGCTGATTGGCTTCTTTCTCTCTCCCTCTCTCTGTTTCCTTTGCTGACTGCATCTGTTTTTTCCTGCAGCTCCAGACTTTTAAGTTGTTCATTCATAGTCTTCCCTCCCTCTCTCTCCACTCTTCCCCCCTCGTATATCACTCCATCTCTCCCGCCAGTCCGCCAGCTGACTGACTCACGGTCTGGTCGGGGGGTAAAGAAAATGAGCAAAGAGCTTTTCCAAGGGCAGTAAGGAGTGTCTCTCAGATGAATGGTTCACAGTGAAGGCCCGGGCAGCTGAGGTAAATGTCTCGTCAGATAACTTTATCCTACATTTAGAGGTCACACGGCGAGCTGTTTGAGTTTCGCTTACCGGGAAACTCTGTCTAAGATTTGGAGGTGAAACAAACAGAAAGAGACAGGACACATTATCGCTATTGATCGGTCTGAGTGAGATTTCCTTCAAGCTTGACGCTAATCTTCCTCCATCTTCCACTTGCAACTTCCATCTTAATATTACAGTGCTGGTTTATGTTGTAATTGCTTCGTCTAAACAGACCAATAAACAACTACTCAGACAGTGGTTCAGACTCTTAGGTCCTGAACACTTCCTGTTGATAAAGAAGAATTCAGTTTCGTCACAGAAAAATCCCCTCTATTTTGTCTTAATTAGTAGCAACCAGCCTAGCAAGACAGAAACGAAGTATAAGTGCAGTGTTGAAACCTTTACCTCCTTTACTTCTGAAATAGCAAACAATTATAACTTGGTAAATAAAAATAGTAACAAAAAAGTTCACTTACAAAAATCCACTACTAGTTATATTTTGATTATTCATCCAGAAAAAACTCATTTCAAATAATATACTATTTTAAATTATGTGTTTTATTCTTACTCATTGTCATTGTTTTCATGCATCATATCTTTCTATGTAAAGCACTTTGGGTTGCATCTTGCTTGAAAGGTGCTATATAAATGAAGTTATTATTATTATTATTATTATTATTATGATAGGCCTAACAATATAAGGTGAAATGGATATTCAGCAAACAGTAAATCAACCCGTTTTTATCTGTTGCTTAAAATCATATTATGCTCTTTGTTTCTACATTAACTAGTTCTATACTTCCCAACACAAATGGAAAAATCACCACCTTTTTCTTCTTTACATTCTCTTTAGGGTCTGCCTGAAATATATTACAAAACGAACTTACAAGTCTAACGGCTTTAATGTTAAGACAACAGCTTGTGATTCTAGATGAATCTCTTATTGTCATGTCCCTCCGTGTTGTTCTCCGTCCTACATTAGTTTGTGTCTCCGTCCTGGCAGCCATCCAGCCACACTTCTGACCCTGAACTTTCAGCCGTTCTTCAGCCGTCGTGCCTCTCCTGAGGATAATGGCAGAGGATTCCACCTAACCGGCTTCATCAATCAATACCACCATGTTGGCTGCTCCCTTGGCAGCTTTGGTCTGCAAGCCTGGCATATCCTCTGGCACCAGCGGCAGATGGGCACGCTGGCACCTGCAGGTTTGAGAAGCACAAAGAAAACTACAGCAAATCTGTGGGAAAAGACTGGACATTGTGCTGACCCAATTACCTGAATTGTGGTGAGTACTAAATCTTCTTTAGGAACAAGTTTGGATTGAGTGATTATTTGTCCATTGGTCATGTGTTTCTCATCTGGACCTTCTTTCGACCTTCCTTTCTCTTATCTCAGGCACAAAGGAAAATTCGTTTGTATGTCAGTGTTGGTGTCTCTTGGAGGGATTGGCACTGCCCAGTCTATAACACAGTGAGTATGTTGTAATTAAACTTAAGTGCATGTTTAAAGTACACAGTGAAAAGAAAGGCACTTAAAAATGATATTCAAAAAACAATTAAATGATTAAAATAAAAGACTCTACAGCCATAATAGTGGCTCTGTAATGCTATACTTAATCAAAAATAAGAAATACATTCTATTGTCAACATGCTCAAAGTGAGAGGTAGAGCCAAGCTGGCTGAGAGCATCATTACTTTGGCAGGTCTTTTGGCATAAACCAAAATCTTAACTTAAAGGTCCCATGTCATGCTTTTCCGGTTATTACCCGTCCCCTTGTGTGTTATGAAGGTTTTTATGCATGTAAACGGTCTGCAGAGTCAAAACCCTCAAAGTACACCCTGTAGCGAGTAAAACTCTAACACAGAAAATACCTCCCCAAAACGCCTCATTGGAGATATGTCACTGTCCATTGATTTTTCCGGGTACCGCATGATGTCATGCGTTACCCGGAACCAAATGGACCAATCCGTGGAGCCGTTACGTTACGTCCGCGGAGCCGTTACATTAAGCCCCCACTGATTGGTCCANATTTATTGGAGAAAAAAAATGTGAACAGCATGTTTTTAACAGTTGATTACCCTGAACTTTAAGTATAATTCAACTGAAAAAACAATAATAAAAAAAAAAAATTTGAAAAAAAAAAAAAAGTAATAATAAAAAATTATCATTTTATTTCGATTACGTTGTTTTCGTAATCGTTGCAAGCCATAATCGTAATTGCGATTAAAATACGATTAATTGAGCAGCCCTACTTTCTACTTCACTAAATTCATCTGACAGCGTTTACAGATTCAGATGATTCACTAATACGAAATATGAATCAAATAATAAATAAACATATCTGACATATCAGATACCAAGCAAAGTCATTAAAAGTAGTTCCATCTTTACCAGCTGAGATGAACACATTAATGCATACATTTTTCATATATCTTTCTCTCTGAAATGGGCCTTTACACATAACGAGTCATTTTACTTTTGGTACTTTAAGTATATTTTGAAGCCGACACTTTTGTACTTTTACTTTATTATAAAAGCAGGAGTGTTACTTTTAATTTTGTAAAATATGTAAGTACTTCTTCCACCGCTGCCTCTAACGACCTTTAGCTGTGATCAGGTGCAGAAGTGTGTAGCTTCAGGAAGGTTTTTTATTTAAGCTTTCATACGTGCAGAGAATATAATTTGTTTTACTCATTTATACCAAAAAACAGCCAGCAGGTCTGGAGTGTTATGCAATATTCAGTTATTCATGACTCTACAACAAGTATTTTCACATGCCCTGCCCTATATATTTTGTCTGGCTATTATAACTTAATAGAGAATCTGGTTTTATGTGGAGTAATTAGATTTGAATATTTTGGCTCTTTGCTTGAAGAAAGCTGAGCCTGTGCCTTTGGATATTATTTGAATATGATACAACATTATAATACCAAATGTTAAATTCATCTGTATGATTGAAGGAATGTATTTCGATGTGTATGTAAGAACAAAGTGCATTGCAGCTCTGCAAGGCTTACGTTTGGAACTAATTAGCAAAATCAGATATTTATTATGTTTTATTTATTGAAGTCTCATGACTGAGTCAGATGCAAACATGAGGATAAACCTGCAAAACACCTTTCCTGCCTCTGTCAGGACAAATGAGACGGTATTTTAATTATTGTCTAAGCATTCAAAAGAATACATTTATAAAAAGCAAAGTGACAAAACGTTAACACATTTGAAAAATTCAATTGTAGTGTCAGTGGAGTTTGATTAATTATAATTTAATTTATCATCAGGAGTGCTTTAGCTTTACGAAAATACATCACTTGCACTTTTGATAAAAATGTTTCTTTTAATGCACCATATATTTGCCTATTTATGGACAAAATGGTTTGTCATATTTTTATAATGCACAGGGGGTTGTTTAGTTTGAAAGCGATGAATTGCATGGTCGATATTGTGGATGGAGTGTATCTACTACTACATTTTAATAACGCCACATCATTTATGTTGTCTTGCAGGGCCGAAGTCATACTAGGAAACATCCTCAAGAAGAAATGCTGGAGGTAATGACGACATAAATGTGTGTAATGGCTTCCTCACTGTAGTTGTGAGAGAGAAATATTATATTGTTATCATATATGGACAAGGACGGTGTGTCAAATGGTGGAGGCAAAGAAAAAAATGTTGAGTTTTATTTTCATTTAATTAAATCAGACTGTATTCTGTATTTACAGTAATTGTGTATTTCTATAAACAGACACATTGCATCACAGTACAGCAGCATGAAAAAGAATAAAAATATGTCTGTAGGCATTTTCAGTTTCAACCTCAATCTCAAACATTCCTTTTATGGAGTTATTTAAACATGCTCAGTCTTTCTTTTTTGTTATTGATTGACTCAGTAGGAAACGAGGAAGACAGACTTACAGTAACAACAAAGGAAGAAACTCATAGAAATAGGAAGATCCTAATGAATCCTCAGCATGTCCGTGTGAAGCAGCTGCTTTCTCAGTCTGATTCATCTTATGCTGCGCTGGCTCTATGGCGCTTCCCCATTGCTTTGTTACGTGTTGATATTACAGTTAGAATGCAAGTGCTATTACTTGCCAAATAAACTTTGAACAAGTGTTATTCAGTTACAAAACTTTTTCTGTCAATAAACTAACCATTTAGATTACAAAATATGTGAATAGTTTATCCAAATAACTCATATTTGAGAATTAACTCCAATGTTTACAGCTGTTTGGAGTTGCTAAAGAGCGGCTGGTCGGCTTAAACAAAGCAGATGTCAATTATAAAATGTTTTTAGAACGACTCTCACCACCTAAACCGTAAATACTACGGAGCCCCCCTATACAAATAATTATTTGAAAGAAAAAAAAAAGAAAAAAAGTTTTTCGCAATACTTTTGCGAGATCTCGCAAAACCCTGTTGCAGTTTGTTGACGGTCCCTAAGCACTCCTCTCCTTCCTTAAGCTGCAGATTGTGACCAATTATTGATGTTTAGCTCGGATGACGGCGCGTATCGAACTGTTCTGATAAAAACGACTCTGTTGCTTGTTGTCTACCTTGCTATGATTATAAAGTCATGTTGTTTGTATTTTTAAAACGTTATGTTCATGAGCAGAGTTGGGTGTAACGCGTTACAAAGTAAAGTAAAGTATTACTTTTGTCGGTAACAGAGTAGTGTAACGCGCTACTTTTATAATTCAGTAATCACACTACAGTTACTAACATTGCCCCGACACGTGTTACTTCGTTACTTACTAAAAATCTGTCATAATCACACTGACAGACAAGAGGGGTTTCCGCCGCAGGTTTATATGTACGTAATCTGCGAGGTTACATTAGCTATCCATCGAACAAGCTAGCTAGCGAAGGTCATCTATAGGCTATAGCTCAATGTACCATTATCTCTCGTAATTTAAATTCTAATTGTTTTCTAACACCCTATCGTTAGACTTGCAGTATTTTACGGAGCCCCCTAGGGGACATGGAGAAGGGAAAAAAAATTATTTGAAAAAATAATATATATATAGGCTTCTATGCTTTGCGAGATATTGCAATACTTTTCATTTAGCTCAATGTACTTCCTGGTCAGTTCGGCTGCTACGGCAACATAGAAACCACAACAATGAGCGGGCGGTTGCATCAATTTACTTTTGAGGTTGGCCTAAATATAAAGAGTATAACATTGACAGTGCTATGGCATAGGCACGCGGTTTCAGCACCTAAGCTGTATATATAATGGAAACG